CTCCAGGTGATTGTTATGCCTTGGCAGAAAGTTTGTCTGCATTTTGCTCATGTCCAGAGGCTTTGGCTGAGACTGAAATTAGGGGTGACAGACTAATTAATCTGGCAGAGAAATTTCAAGGCAGTCTAATATTGAAGCAGTGGCATGGCTATTGTTGGGGGGTTTTAGTCAGATATATGTTGAGAATTAAGAGCAAAGAGCCCAGCAGAATGATTTAAAAGGCTTTGAGTTTGGCCAAAAAGAAAGCTCCAGTAAAGACTCAGCCTGCAAAGATAGAGCACAGGAGATCTTGATTGCTCAGAGGGAACAGGAGAATTGAAAAGATGGCTTGAGGACATCAAAAGAAGCAGCAGGACTCCACCCTTTGCAGCCTCAAAATTGCAAAAGTGAAAGACTTTGCTTTGAGAAGAGAGCCCCAAGCACTATGTTCCAGAATGGCTGCATCCTAGGGAAGTTGTTCCTCAGGATTTGGTTCATAGGCATTGCACTCCTACAACTAAGAGAGAAGAAAGCCTGGCTACTGCTCCAGCTGGCAGCAGACCTTGGTGTCATCACTTGGTGCTGGATTTAGGTGCATGCAAAATGCAAGAGTTGTGGTATCAGAAAGGCTTCAACCAAGATTTTAGAAGAAGAACTGGGAGGCCAGGCAGTGTGCCCCTGAGAGGGCAGTATGTGAAGCTCTGAGTGTGAAGCCAAAGGTGCAGTGGAGATCCAGAAGTGTGAAGAAGCCAGGACCATGAATCATCTGAAACAACTGCAAGGAGCAGAGCTGGCCACAAAAAGAAGCCATGGGAGCTACAACCACCAGAAGTGCCATAGGAGTGGAACCACCCAAGATCTTTAGAGTTCACAACTTGCCACCTATTTCCAAGAATGCTGGAAGGGAACTGGGTGGGATTTAATGTTTACCCTATTGGATTTTGGTCTTCCTCTGTTCCCATTCCTTGCTATCCCCATGTTTATAATCTTCGGAATGGAAATGTCTATCTTGTGCTATCGAGTGTTGGAAGTCTTGAACTTTCTTTTCATTTATACAAGGGCTTGAAGCTAAGAATTTGCCTTAAATCTTTTTGACTTGGACTTTTCAGCAATGCTGAAACCGCTTATTGGCAACTCTTAGAGATGGACTAAATGCCTTTTGTGTAAAGGAATGTACAGGAGTCTTGGGGGGGCCAGGGACAGAATGTTATGGTTTGAGTCAAGATGTCCCCCTAAAGCTTTATGTGGTCATAGGTGGCTTTTTCAGAAATGGCTGAATCTAGAGTGTGTGATGCTGGAATTAAGGGTGTGTGATTACTAAACCAGTACACAGGTGGTTTACAATCACCCATATCCTTGTAGTCTGGATAAGATAAAAGGGGCAGAAAGATGCTGTTAAGGTCCCTTGTTGCTTTTCTGCCTTCAGTCCTCCATGGACTGTTGCCCCTCTGCCATGTGCCACCCTGCCTCAGAGCCAGCTGTCTGTGGACTGAAACCTCTACAAACTGAGCTAAATAAACCTTTCCTCCCTTAACTTCTGGGTGTGGAGTATTTTGTCTCAGCAAGAGGAAAAGTAACTAAGACAATGAGAGAATTACTATTTGTTGAAACAGCATCAACAGCTCTGACCAAACATCACTTATATGTGTTAAAACTTGCATTTACAGTTTTTCCCTTCATCGATAAACTTTACAGCCTGTATTATTTTGTTACTGTGGTTACTCTGTGATGTGAAAAGAGAGGGGAAGGAAAGAGTTGGGAGGATGGATGAAAGGGGACTGTAAGTCAGTAAGACAAGAGGTAGACAGGAGAAATAATAATGATAGGTTAAGAAAAAAAGATTGGTGTCAGATTCTGCTAGATGTCTTTTATAGTTGGAGTGATGGTTCAATAATGAGGGAAATAAGACTATACTTGTGGGGGTGGGAGAGTAATATAGGAGGAAGGAGGTGTAAATAGGGATTAAAGAATGCTACAAAGTTGTCAGTTGATTTATTTGTGCACATATAAGGTGGAGAAGAACCAGGGGAGGAATAAAAGGTAGGTAAAATGAGGAGCAAAATGAATAGGATAGGACAGATGTTTGATATGAGATAAGATGGGATTGTCTGAGAGAGAGTGAAATTTAGGGAAAAAACCTTGAAAGGAAGAATTTGAAAAGTGAATAAGCAAGTAAATAATGAAATAGTGTTGCTACCACTCCTAAAGAAAAGGAGTAAGTTAAAGAAAAGGAATAGCAAGATGAGAAGAGAGAAAATAGCACCTAAATGAAAGCAAAAAAAATTAGCAACTACAATACAACTACAACAATAGCAGAAAAACTTTTGTCTCAGTTATGATCATGAGACTTTTGGTGTTACTTACTGCCATATCACAAGAAATTGCTCATTTCTCGTTAAAATTTATTAGAGATGTTTGCTCATCCTGCAGAACACTCACAGAACAAGTTGCTCAAAATCCAAGGTTTTACTGTATAAAAGTCAAATTGAAGAAAATTTTTAAAATAATAACTAAAGAAGACAATTTTCCATGGTAACAGATACAGACAAAACTAACCTAAAGCAAAAAAGAATAAAACATGTAATATTGATAAAACAGGAGATTAATAGGGAAAGACAAATAAGAAAAATCAATGAAATAAAAAATCTACTTCTTTTAAATTATGAGCAAAACTTATATACCTTTAACTAAAATGACAAAAAATAGATATTAAATTGCTAAAATCTTTAATGAAATGAGTAGTAATATATATCTTCTAGAAATGGAAAGGCTTTTTGTATTTTTATGCCTTCTCAAATGCTCTTCATCTTTTAATGGCAAAAGTTAATCATCATTTAGCAAGAATTATTTCTCAAATATATTTATATCAATTTAATATAAAGGTAATTTTATTAGAATTAGGGGGTTCTTCTGTATACTACAGTTGCTTACTTTCTGTCTCTAAACTATGCACTCTTTCTGAGAAGACTCTGATTCTGAACAATGTTGTATGTATCATCCATGATGCCAAGAAAACTGGGTATCACGTACAATCAACTTCAATAAGTATTTTCTTGTGCAGAAAAAATAAAAATTAGAATTATATGATGTAAATTATGAGATAATTCAAAGAAATGTCCCTTGAAATTCTAGAATATTCATTTGTTAATAACATTCCATACATGAAATGATAAAAATATAATCAGTAGTAGTTATGCCACAATATGTGTCAATAAACCTCTATACTAGGTGTTGCTATTAGAATACAGTAATAAATTTCTAATGTAAAGAACATTAACAAACTAAGGGATAGCTGGAAAAAATGAAAGGAATAAAAATATTAAAATATCCTATGAAGAATATGTGGCGGTATATAATATATGGTGGTATAGCGTCAAAAAGAGAAAAAATAGGTGCTGAAATATGAAAGTGAGAATGTGCTTATTCTGAGTTACTCTGTAATACTTCAATCCTCACCAGTGAAACTGATGAAAAGAGAGAATATTGTGAAAGAGAGAATATTGCAGTCCTGAGAGATCAAACTACATGATTTTCCAGAATCTAAGAAGAACTAGTGATGTGTTACATAAAGCAGGAAACATAACTTAGAAACTGCTGTGTACTAGATGTATTAATTAGTGAGTATTGGCACAGATTTGCAAAACAGGAAGGAACATTCCCGATTCCCCTCCCATAGTTCTGGGCTGGAATTACTAATCCTTTCAAAGGCAACACTGTCTTCCTGTTACTGAGTAAATGCTCATGAGGAGATTTATGACCCATGTGTACAGAAAATTAAAATTACAATTCTTTAGAGAAAACAACAATGAAAACATTGACCTGGAATGAAGTCACAGAAAAAAAAAGTCAGGCATTGACAAAGTGCTCATTTCACATCTTTGTCTACAAAATTCATTTTTAGAGGTTAAGCAAAGACAATAGCAAGAAAATATGTCATTTAAATACTAACTTTACTAATCTGCCATGAGAGTTCTAATTATCCACAAAACTATGACTATGTATCACTCCTCATGTATATGACTTAGTAAGTATAACAGTGCAGAGAACATATATATCTTCCATATTAAATTACTTATTCTGTATGAGTAGATTAATATAAGATAGACCAAGATGCTACATAACATCAAGAGAGTGAGAACAAATAATTAAATAATTCTTCATAAAGGAAATACATTATGTCACAGGTTCCATGGAGTATTTAAACTACATAGTATAGTTATGCTATAAACTTTAATCCCATTTAAGTTAGCTTAAACTCAAATGTCTTAACTTAATCAGTTATTTACATGGAAAAATGTCCCACCAGTTTTTTTCCATCTATTATGGCTTGTGTCTAGATGTCCCCTCAAACCTCATGCAGTCATAGGTAGGGCTTTTCAGAGGTGGCTGGACCTGAGGTGTGTAATGGTGAGATTAAGAGTGTGTGATTACTAAATCAGTCCACTGATTGGTTTGGCATTCTGTATGTGGATAATGGAAAGGTTACCCTGGGCATGAGGGTCATCAACCAAAGGGCAGATAGCCTGGAAAGGATGTAGGGGACAGGGGAAGGGGACGTTACCAGAACCTCTGCAGTTAGTCCTGGTCTCCTGCGAGCCACGGCAGCACATGGCGAATTACAGGAAAGGTAGAAAAA